AGTAAAACTTTTCCAATTAACCTTTCATACTAAGGCAGGAGTAATATATACATCTTTTGAATAAAAAACTTTCCACCTTTTGAGTTCTAGATAATCTACCAATCACCTTATAAAGTCTGAAGTTGCATGACTAGCTCTCTAGTTTTTAGTATTTTTCTCACTACCCAAGATGCATTCTTAGGTAAAAGAAGTTTCTCTATAGCTCTATTTTTATGTAGTAACTGGGTACCCATTGTATCCAAGTCAGTTATCTTCCTTGCTACATCCCATGGTTGCTTCAAAATTATTGTTTTGTTCTATATGCAAAGGTTTATAATATTTAAGCCACACCCCTTTTCCAATGAAACTAATGCATTTTTTAAAGTAGCAATTGCCAAAGAAATCTCTGCAAATAGCTTAAATAAGTTTCAATACCTTCTTTGGAAACATGAATATCTGAGCCTAATAACTTTGGATGCTAAAGATTACTGATTTTATCAACTGTAGTCTTCCAACTTAGATACCAGCTTTACAGACCAATATTTCATCCTTGTTATGATTATCTCCACCAGCATACACTAGGGTTGTAGTCAAAGCAATCTTGAGCTTTTGATAGCTCTCCTCACACTTATCAGACCATCTAAAAGGAACACCTTTCTGAGTCAACTTAGGTAATGGATCTGTAGTAGATGAGAATCCCTCCACAAAGCAATGATAATAACCTGCCAAACTTAAGAAACTTTAAACCTCTATAGTTGTAGTATATCTAGGCCAATTCTGAACTAGATCAATCTTCTTAGGATCAACCTTAATACCATCACTAGTCACCACCTAAACCAATAATGCCACTGAGCCCAACCAAAACTCACACTTGGAGAACTTAGCATAAAGCTTCTTTTCCTTCACAGTTTGAAGTGCACAATCCCTAAATGTTGCACAAGTTTCTCTATACTACGAGAGTAAACCAAGATATTATCAATGAAATGTATCATAAAAGAATCCAAATAATTCTTCAACACCCGGTTCATGAAATCCATAAATGTCATTGGAGCATTAGTCAAACCAAATAACATCACCAAGAACTCATAATGATCATAACGAGTCCTACAAGCTATTTTAGGAATATTCAAAGCCCTAATCTTCACCTGATGATCATCTAGTCTCAAGTCAATCTTAGAGAACACCCTAACACCTTGAAGTTAATCAAACAAATTATCAATACGAGGCAATGAGTACTTGTTCTTGATGGTAACCTGTTCAACTGCCTATAATCATTGCACATCCTCATAGTACCATCTCTCTTCTTTACAGGCAATAGTGGTGCACCCCAAAGAGAGACATTCAATCTAATAAATACCTTATCAAGTAAATCTTACAATTTTACTTCAACTCTTTCAACTCAGTTGGAGTCATAAGGTATGGTGGAACAGATATGGGTTGAGTGCTTGGCACCAAATACATATCAAAATCAATATCCATGTTCGGTGTCAATATCTAATAGATCCATATGGAATACTTTTGGAAACTCTTTCACGATAGGTACCAAATCCATGGAAGGCACCTTCACACTAGTATTCTCAATGAAAGCCAAGTATGCTAAATACCCCTTCTCAACCATAAGTTGGACTCAACTTGTAAAGCTGAACAGCTCTGTGGAAAAATTAATCTTCTCTCTCAAAATAGCAATTTCCGATGTTAAGGGCATACTGTCACTGGAATGGGCACAACTCCACCATCCGGTAGTGAAATTCCACCGAATTTGACTCAAAAGAACGGCCTTAGCAATGATCACAACCCCCAGTTGGTCTCACCCCACAATTCTAAGCGAGTTGCTATTGAAGAGGCAACAAATACTATAACTTCGACTTGCATGGAATTCTCAGAAACTTCCCAATCCATTCCTGGTCCAAATCGAGCAATTCCAGGCTGTGGAGATTCTCCCCCAGGTCAAATACTATCTCCCCACCAATCTCAGACCATTCCACCATGGAAAATGAGAGCTCTGATGTTCTACAAAACTCCGGCAAGGAGACAGTTGTTAGAGAAGACGATGTAGGTATCCAACTGGTATGAAACCAATGCGAAAATGTCTTTGCTATCCTAGAAAACACTCTCCAATCCTCAAAACTGCACCACAATCAACCAACCTCCATAAAAATTCAAAAAGCAAATTCTACAATCGTGAATATAGCAGGTGTTCGACAAAATGCCCCAACCAATTCCACTGACCTAAATGAAGTGCAATTGTTAGTTGGTCGGAGATGGTGAACCTGCTAGCTAAATCAACTAAGGTCAATGCCAAAATGCTTTTGCAGATATAGGGAATCTTCCCAATCCATCCTAACTTCAGGTCAACCAATCAAAAGTTACAACATCTTCAAAATCGACTCCTGCAACTACTACTGTTATAGGTGTTCAACCAAAAGCATCAGACATCTCTCCTTCATCAGAAAACCAGGTGATAAACCTCACTCAAGCAACTGTTCAAAATGCTTCAGGACACTTGGAGAAGACATCAACCAACAAGCTATCTAGTCATGTTGCCAAGATTCCCTAACAAGCTCAAACAAAAACCAAAACCACCTCTTCCCCATCTACTTCCATATACCCAAAGATCTCAACCAACTTTGATAAACCCTAACACCCACAAAATAATAAATCACCTACAGAACCTATCCAAAATGCCCAGCTTCACAACAATAAACTAGATATTCCACCAAAAGAAACAAATACCTAACCAAAAAACCACCTAATTTTCCTGCCCCACCTCCTCCTACCATCACACACTCCCTAGCAACCAAACTAAGAGCAAAATTAACTCCAATAGAATTCAGACCCCCCAAAATAACCACTAAATAGGGTCAACCAGCGGTTATCTTCACCAGGAAAGACTATATGGTCACTCTACCCAATAGATGTCAATACACTATTATGGAAAAATTTCTTAACACTATGCCAAGAATGGAAGTGATTAGAAGAAGTTTCACAACTCTAACTGAGCTTAGATGAGGAGTTAAAATAGTCTACTATAATGCTCGAACATTATACATTGATCTAGACAATGAGTATGGCCACACTACTGTCTTGACCAAACAATTCATGTACATCCAAGGTCAAAGAATGAATATTCAAGCCCGGACTTCCAACTTCAAACCTAATGAGGACACTCCCATTGTCCCAGTATTGGTACTCATTCCTGAATTACCTTGGCATTTCTACTATATGTAGGTCTTATCAGTATTGTTGTCTCCCATTGGTAAGATACTACATCTGGACCTTGCTTCAATGCAAAAAATCAAGAAAGTGTAGCAAAAGTAAATATGCAGATTGACCTAACTAAGGATAGGCATCATCATGTGTGGCTTGGCTTTGATGATGATCAAGATGTTAATGGGGATGGGCAATGGCTTGAGGTGATGTATGAAGACGTCCCAATTTACTGTCTGCATTGCAGATATTTGGTACATGAGGAATACTACTGCTCTATCAGGAAAAGAGAAGAGGAGGACAAAAAGAAAGCACTAGCTGAAACATCTAGAAACAATGAGAATCAGAACAATAACAGGAAAGTGCATGAAGGGGGATCTCAACATAACCAAGGATAAGCCATGCAGGCGCAAAACAAGAATTAGAACTCCAAGCAAAAGATGGTAATGCAAGACCAAAGAGAAGATCAACAAAGAAATGAAAACCAAAAAGCAGCAACTCAACAAATTACAAGGGATAACCATTCCAAATATCAATGGCATTCTCAAAAGAAGAAGAATTTTAGGAGAGTCAACCAAAGAAATAGGAAGCAGAAATTCAAACAGATTACTGAGGAAGTAGCTGATGCACAAGAAGCCAACACTAACCAGAATTCAGGTATTGGTCCTAGTTTACAAGCTGACCCTCTAGTTGCTCTGGAGAATGTGAAGGATCACATTCCCAACCCCACAGTGATTGATATAAAAACTAATTGAGGGAAGGAGAATATTCAGGACATACCTATAACTAATCAGATTGAGGATCCAAAAGGGGTGGGTGCTCCTCATGGTAATGATGATGCACAAGGCCCTATTATTAATCAGTAATCTACTTAGAAGATTCCTACGGATGGCATTGCAACAAACAAGATAATTGGTACAGATGATGATCACAGAAACACAGTTGACGGAGGCAAAGGCCCCATGTCAAATCAATTGTCCACGACAAAATCAAAAAAATAATCCAAGTCAGAAAAAAAATAAGGCAAATAAAAAGACAACAGGAAGCTGTTTTGGCTAAAACAAAGATTAACTCTGTATACACTTATGGAATATGATGCTCAACCCCATGTAGCACCCTCACCTTTGTCTACAGGAGTAGACATATTTTGCACCCTCACCTTACTGGAAAGAAGCAGGTACTATGATTTCTATTGGCCTTTCACCTATGTCTAAGGCAATAGGAATTGGGGTTGATCCTGCTACTCACATCCATACAGGGGGAGTAGGAAATATGTCTCATGTAGCACCCTCATCTCTTGTAAAGGAAGTAGGAATTGTACCATATGTAGCACCCTCACCTCTAATAGAGGAAGTAGGTACTATGGCATTAGTTGCACCCTCACCTTTGCATGAGGCAGTAGATAAGTATATGCACATACAGTCTGAGGATAAAGTTGATATTGGTGATGAAGCAGATGATGAACATAGTGAAGACCTGAAGGAAGATGACACTTGCAATCATCTCCTTACTGCCTTTAATGTTCATCCTGATTTAGCTAAAGTCAATGATGCTCAAGGACTCTCTCCCAGAAATAAGCCACCACATTACCTCACCAGAAGCAAAGCAACCATCTCTACCCTTCCACCAAAGCACAACCTCCCTAAACATTTTTAATGATTAGTACAATCACATGGAATATAAGAGGTATAAGAACCTCTGGAACCATTAAAAGACTTAAAACTCTCAAACATCTTCACAAACTATCCTTCATTTCAGTCCTAGAGCCTTTTCTTGACAACACTCATATCAATTACTACAGAATTCAATTGTCCATGCATCAAGCAACATCAAACATCAACAACAAAATCTTGATCTTTTGGGATCAAGACTATACAGGCTCAGTCATTGACCAAGATGAGCAGCAAATGACTGTTGAGCTACAACATGTAGAAGCAACTGAAGTTTTCCAATTAACTGTTATCTATGCCAAGTGCAAAACAAACCTCAGAAGACCACTGTGGGAGGTATTAAGGCAGAAATTCTTGACATATACCATCCCATGGTGCGTGATTGGAGATTTCAATGTTATTGCATCCATTAAAGAAAATATAGGGGGTCTACCATACCAACTAAGTAAGAGCATGGACTTCCTCAATATGATAGAAGATTGTGGACTTGTAGACCTGGGGTTCTATGGCCCTAGATATACTTGGTCTAATGGAAGAGCTCCAGGATCAATAATTTGGAAGAGATTGGACAAAGGCATGGTAAATGACAATTGGCTAATCTCATTCCCAGCTACCACCATTTCACACTTAGCCTCCACTAGGTCTGATGAAAATCCCCTTATAATGGAGATGAATGTCAGACAGGATACTAGCAAAAAGTACTTCAAGTTTCTCAACTGTTTGGTGGAAAATGAAGGCTTCATCCTTTTGGTTCAAGAAATTTGGAATCAGGAAGTCAGAGGTAATGCTATGTGGATCTTCTATCAAAAACTTAAAGCAGTCTCTAATGCTTTAAGTAAATGGTCGAGGCAGGAATATGAGGATATCTTCCAGAAGGCCAAGGAATATGAAAAAAAGTGAAGTAGGCAGAAATGACTTGGGCTCAAACAAATGATATTGATGACAAAATGAACTTTCATGAGGTAACAACTCAATACAAAAAATACAGGAAGCTAGAAGAAGCTATTCTGAAGTAAAAAATAAAGCTTCACTGGTTCAAAGATGGTGATACAAATTCAAGATACTTCCATAGTTTAATGAGAGGAAGAAGATGAAAGTTGTTTATTCATAAAATCAAAGACATTGAAGGTAAATAGGTGCAAGGTGATGAAGCTATAGGGAAAGTTGTTTGTGACTACTTTCAGGACCTATTTATAGAAATTGGTGGCACCATTAGAGAAGACCTGCTATCCTGCATCCTATCATTCATTACAGATGAAGAAAATGATCTCCTCACCAAAGATCCAACTATTGAAGAACTCAAGGAAGTGGTATTCTCAATGTGTCCAATAAGTGCAGCAGGTCATGATGGCATGAATGGAAAGTTTTTTCAATCCTGTTAGGATATCATCAAGGTTGATTTACTACAGGTTGTCCTAGCCTTCTTTGGTGGTTCAGAAATGCCTAAGTACATGACTAGTGTCTGCCTAGTTCTAATACCAAAGGTTGAATTTCTCAACTACTTCACTGAATACAGACCTATCAGCCTCAGCAATTTTGTCAACAAAATCATCTCAAAGGTTATCTATTCCAGACTTAGCCCAATCCTTCCTAGAATCATTTCACCCAATAAGTCTGGTTTTGTTAAGGGTAGGAGTATTTCTGAAAACATAATGTTTGCACAAGAAATTGTGCAAGGCATCAAAAAACCAAACAAAGGGTCAAATATTGTTATCAAGCTGGACAATGGCAAAAGCTTATGATAGGGTATCCTGGAGCTATACATGTATTATGCTGAGAAGAATGGGATTCAATGAAAGAATAATTGACATGATATGAAGAACCATGGCAAAAAATTGGCACTCATGATCATCAATTGCACTGGATATGGGTTTTTCCACTCTACTAGAGGTTTGAAACATGAAGATCTACTGGCCCCATCCTTGTTCATGATAGGAGCAAAACTTCTTTCTAGGATGCTCAACGACCTCACCCATGATCAATTCTTTAATGGATTCTACATGGAGAGGAGGGGTCCACAAATCAACCGCCTAAGCTTTGTAGATGCCATCTTAATCTTCATATCAGGAGGTAGAGCATCATTACAGAAGATTATGGAGATTCTCAATAATTATGAGCACACATCTAGGCAGCAAATCAACAGACAAAGCCACTATGATTAAACATGTGCTCCAATCTATACCTACACATTTGTTGTGAGCCTTAACCCCCCAAACTATACTCAGGCAAGTTGAGAAGTTAACAACTAACTTTTTTTGGGGAATGGAGAAAGACAAAAACAAATACCATTGGCTTCTTGAAAGAAATTGACATTTCCAACTGAAAAGGGAGGTGTTGGCCTAAAGATCAATGGAAGATATCTGCCAAACCATGGAATTCAAGAAATAGTGGCTCTTCAGAACTAAAGAGTCACTATGGAGCAAGTTTCTCGGAGCTAAATATTGCTAAGGATCAAATCCCATTTCCAAAAAATGGAACTCTGGGCAATCACAAACATGGAAGAAAATGATGATTAATAAGAAAGAAGCTAAAAAAACACATCACTTGGAGATTATATTCTGGTAGCTGCAACTTTTGGTAGGACAACTGGTTGGGAAAAGGTGCTCTTGCTCAGCACAGAAGTGAAGGAGGAAGGCCGTGCAATATAACTGTGGCCAATTTTTGGGACCAAGGCTAGTGGAATCTGCAGAAGTTGAATAAAGCAATCCCAGCACCTTTAATACCTGCCATCTTCCAAATCCAAATATATCACAACCCTCAAATCCAAGACCAACCTATTTAGACCCCAAATGTGAAAGGAAACTTCACATGCTCTTCTGCATGGGACTTGATCAGGAAGAAGAGGCAGAGATGTTTCTCTAATAAAATGACATGGCATAAGAGGATCCCTTTCAAATGGTCCTTTTGTATGTGGAGAGCTCTCAGAAACAAACTACCTACAGATGATATGATGCTCTTATTTAGTAACCATATTGTATCTAGGTGTGTATGTTGTTATACACCTGGGGCAAAATCTGTGTATCTTATTTTCAGTAGGGGCCAATTTACATTGACAGTATGGAAAACGTTTGCAGGACCAGCTGGTATCCACACTGCTAAAATGCCTCTAAGACTTCTCCTGATGGAATGGCGGCTTCACAAAAGAAACAATGAAGTGCAAAAGCTTTTACTTGACACTGTACCAACTATTATTTGCTAAAACATTTGGAAGAACAGGTGCAGTGCAAAATATGGCAAAAAAACTTCCTTTTTCACCAGAGTTATCTACTCCATCATCTCAGATATTCACATGCTCATGCAAACAACTTACCCCTCAATTTTCTGGCCAATAAAATGGGACGATTTATATCCCATTGCTGAGAGCATCAAACATTACATCAATGTCAGGCAAGTTATTTGGAGCAGACCTGAACATGGATTTGTAAAAATCAACAGTGATGGGAGTACACTGAACAAACCAGTAAGTATAGGGGCCGGGGCAATAATAAAGAATTGCAGTGGTACATTTATTCATGCCTTAACGGCTCCATTGGGAGAAGGTACCAATAACCAAGCTGAAGTAGAAGCAACAACCTTAGGAATTAAGTGGTGTGTTGACAATGGCCACAACAAGGTACACTTAGAAGCAAACTCAGCATTGCTCATCCATTGGCTTACCACTAACAATGGCCCTCAATAGAATTTAAAGATGCATCTGATGAATCTGAGATAACTATATGGCAAATGTCAAGAAATCAAATTCTCACATGTGTATAGGGAGACCAATTGCCCAACAGACTCCCTCTCAAAACTCAGCCACAACCTATCATCTATAAACCATTTTTACTCCACTTAGTCTCTCCCCAACTACATTAGAGGTCAGATTCAGCGGCAACAATAATATCAGCAATAGCCTCTCCTCCATTTCAACCAGAAATGGAAACCAGATAGTTTTTCTACCTAACCTTGTTTTTCTTTTTTGCAGGTACCAGAAGTAAACTCACACCATTCGTATACATTCAAGGTGTGGTATCGGCACTGTACATGCTCATTTTGTTGAATGGATACCAATATCATTGGGAATTTCCATCTACCTGGAATCACAAGAATCATCAGGGCAACTGTTGCTTCCTCTCTTCTGTCAACAAGCCCCTTTGGACATTGCATTGCTCAACACTCAGCAGTGTCACAGATGTTACAAGACAACAACCAAGTACATCAACTTCTCTGAATACTTGGAGTTGATTGAACTTGAGCAATCAAAACTATGCAACACAGTTTTTGGATAGTTTTCTGCACAATTTTTGGTATCTACTTGGGTTACCTTCACAATGACTTCCTCTCAAGTCACCATGAAGATAACTTTGATGCAGTCTCTGCTATCTCTATGTTGTTGTATTATGTTTTTGTCAACTCACATAGGGAGAACATGTATTCTATTGTATTATAGGAACAAATGTATATTGGAGGAGTCCTCCAATTCTAGTTTTATAGCTAACCTAACCTCATTTAGTTTTGTAAATAATTAGGCTACCATTTGTGGTTAGCAAAATGGTACACCTATTTAGGTCTGAATTCACATTCTTGTAAAGTATCAAATGGCTATACAATTAATATTCATCTAATACCAACCACTTATTCGGAGGTACGGTTTATGTCCCCTTGTTGTTGTACTTTAACTTTAAATATATAAAATTTAGCCCTATGCACAAGGCCTAGTGAATTATTCCAAAGAAAAAACATAAGTTGAGCCTTCAAAAACAAAATCACCCTTCGAAGAGTGACCATCTCCACTCTAGCTTGGGAAACCTTGGAATAGCTAAAGTCATAGTCTTGGCGTAATAACCCAAGACTAATATGGTGTCACGACCCAAAACCACCAACCTGTCATGATAGCGCCTAACCCACTTTCTAGGCAAGCCAAGCATAACAAAATGGAATATAATAACAGAATTAACGGAAATAATATAAATCCAAAGTGAACTGACATAAATAGCTATGTTGATACAAAAGAATTCCCCCAGAACTAGTAATACAGAGTTATGAGCTCTAAAATAGAAGTACAAGTCTGGAATACAAATGGAAATACTGTATAAATGAAACCATGGCATTGAAATGAAAAGAGACACCAAAGACTACGATTGAGATGCAACTCTACCTCATCTCTCGAAGATGACCATAGCAATAAATCACAATGACTCACGGCTCGGTCCAATGCTTGGATTTGCAGAATTAAGTACAAAATATAGTATGTGTACAACTGATCACATGTACTCAGCAAGTATCATAACTAACCTTGACGAAGTAATAGAGGAGATAATTATAAATGATACTCGCTAATAACCTGTTCAGTTCATAAATCTCACAAGTACACAACAACAATATTATCAAGTCATAAATAATATTTAAAGCCACCTTGGTGCACAAAGATAATGTAACATGTTCTTTTTTAGTTAACAATACAACATATAGAGGAGGTATGCAAAACAAGGCATCTAGACATTCCTGATGTAGCATATAGAGAAAATATGTGAATAAAACATGTATACATCCAAGAAAATTTCAAGTAGAGATGAAATGCAATAACAAAAACAAACACTGATCAATTTTCCTTATACTGCGCATACACCATCAAGAGAGAAACATGAGAGGCTGACCCTCGGAGGATGGATCTTATTCACACGTTGCACAGACAACTCACGTGCCATATATAAACCTCCACGGAAAACTCACGTGCTAACATAACTCAAATCTACACGGACCACTCACGTGTTATCAACCCAATTTATATTACACAGAGAGCATATATAAAAATACATGTGCAAGAATAGTGGATATCAAATTACATATGATGGATTGATATAAGTGACATGTTAAGGTGTAGGCAAGTGCGAAGTGTGCTACCATGGTTCAAATTAGAC